ACAACAACAAAGTTTCTAGTTGAATCGGATAAGGATATGCAGAGCGGCAATAACTTAAATGAAGCTGGGCTGGTCTTATCGAAAAAAAGTAAACAACTCAATCTTGCTCATACAAGACCTAAAAACGTAAAGAAAACAAACAAAGTAAAATCCGAGGTGAAAACAAAAAAGAAAGTCAAGGACATGTCTGAGCCGGTGAAGTGTGAAGAATGTGGGAAAATAATGAAGAGAAGCTCATTAAAAAAACATAAGCAACGTCATAAACCAAAAACTTTTCTTTGTCAGGCCTGCCGTAAGTATTTCCGTTCCTTTTAACTTGGGGACTAATTTCTATCTTTGTTGAATTTACCTTCGCCAGCAAACACATTTAAGGAGTCATGTGCCCTAAAAAATCATGAGCTCTGTCACAATGAGAATCGGGAAAGATTTCCGTGCGACATCTGTAACCAAAGCTTTTTAACTCCGTATACATACAAAAAACACAGGCTAACGCACGAAACCAACCGCAAACCAATATATCAATGTGCTCAGTGTGAAAAATCATTTCTTCATAAAAATGGTCTAACAATCCACGAGCTCCATCACAAGGGAGCTACGATAGAATGCCAAGTTTGTCAAAAACGTTATGTGCGGCAAATAGACCTAGATGTTCATTTACGCACTCATTCTGGAGAATCGCCATTTGTGTGTCACCTTTGTGGAAAATCTTTCATCCACAAACGTATTTTAAATAGGCACATGCAGTACCATGGATATTTCAGTTACAAGTGCGTGATTTGTGGTTCTAAAATAATTGTAGTATTGGTCTTGTCCCACCCGTGACAAAAAAAGGTAAAAGTTATATTCAATTACAGAAGTTGCAGTTGTGTTTCAGGTTTGTTACATAATGTTAGAAATTCATTGCAAATATTTACCACAATTGCATTGTCGTTTCCACGTAGTTAGATAAGAATAATTCAACAGAGAGGTAGGCCCCACCCGTGACAGCTATGTGTGGGTCAGTTGTCAGAGGTAGGTTTACAGGGCTGCTAAGCTTAATTTGTTTGTTTAGGTGGACGCAGGGGAGAAAGGCGGAAGCGCGGACTCGCCCATTGCCTATATGCCATTGTGGTCAGATGATCAAGTTAAGTGAGATTTTGACCAGTTTTGGTTTTTTCTTTTGTTTATTTAATGTTCATAGTTTTTTTATAAAATTCTAGCATATTAAATAACCAGAACCACATTAATCCACATTTTAAACTTCGTACAAAAATTAGAAATTTCAACAACAGTTACACCCAAAAATTCTAAACTTTTTGTTCGTAATTTTTAGAAAAATTCCAGCTGTGCGGTTTTATAGCGTAATAAAATTATGTAGTAAAAGTGAAAATTTCAGGATTTGTTTATTTTCCACTAATAGTTAGTATGCTTTAGAAATTTTACGGAAATAGAGCACATGACTTCGTTCGTTGTAGAGTTGTAGCAGGTAGTGATTTTTTCCTCAAACTGCAATTGTCTAAGTGCGGAGTTATGTGGTTTAGTTGGCATTATCCTGAACTGCAGATATTTCGTAGATACGTACGTTCTTCATAAAATTTTATTTTGTAAAAGTGTTGGGTGTGCACCTACATATTTAAATGATGCAAGTGCTCCATTCGTCCTCACTCACAACAGCTTATCCTGAAAACTTTTTAGAGCGTTGTATGGAAGATGTTTTTTCGCTTTTCCGGGGAATTACGCTATAATCTATATCTACATATATGCATTGTCGTCAGTGGTAGAAGTAATAGAAAAGCCTTCCACTTATGTAAAACAGTGGTAATTGCATCGCATTTCTCTTTCCAATCTTATTACAGAGCAGCCTTTTTGATTTTTTTTTTTGGAAAACATAAATCGTATGCTGCGCATGCCGCATTATACTAAAGCCGGCCCTTGACATAAGCTACTATTCCAGATATGTATATAAAAATGAAGCAAATTATTACATTACCATATTTTATATATTTGTTTTCTTCAATTTCCAATTTTGAGAAGTGGAGAATATCAAAATTTAATTTTGGTATCAATAGATTCGATAACGATTTTTTTGACAATTTTGTACGTGTATTCCTCGGAAACGCGAAAAAACATCTTCCATACAACGACCTAAAAAGTTTTCAGGATAACTTATTGTGAGTGATCGCGAATGGACCACCCGCATCGTTTATCTCACTTATTTAGGTGCACACAAAAAACTCCTACAAAATAAAATTTTATGAAGAACGTCCGTATTTACGAAATATGTATCTGGTGTTCAGGGAAATCCCAACTGAAGAAAAAATCCCTACCTGCTACAACTCAAAAACGAACGAAATCATGTGCTTTATTTCCGTAAATATTTCTAAAGCATACTAATAGTCTAAGAGCCCATCAAACTAAGCCGAGTAGAGTAGGGGTCCCAGAGGCCATGTATATATTTGGTGACTTCATACATGAGGGAACACGAAATGGGCCTGCTACCTCGCCTAAGGCCAGTCAGGGCCCAGAAAACAAATAAATAAATAAAATTTTTTTTTGGGGATTCGAGTATGTCAGGAGTCCCGTATTTTGATTGTTCCTCGCGACAGGGGAGGGATTGGGCAATACGAATAGGTAGTGCTGCAAGCCCCCCTGATTAGCCGTATCAGTTGCTGCAGCGAGATAAGCGACGCCTCGCCTGTAGGATCCGAGTATCATCGAGGTCCTCAAAAAATCAATGCTCATCTGAAAGAGCATCAAATTCTATGTAGGAAAAACCACTGCTGCATTTTCCAGTCATACACTTTTGACCTCACAAAAATTAATTCTCGAATAATTTTTCTGGATCTTTTGCCCTCGGGGGGATCAGTCTCCGTGTAAATGGCAAGTGGCAACCAAATCTAGCGATTGCGCACGTGCGAATTTTTTTTTCGAAAAAAATGGTTGGCCATTTTTAATTTTTAAGAAAAATCACAAAAACAAAAGTTGTAGGAAATTCAATTCTATACAAGTTTGGTCGTTCTAAGATTGATAGTTTTCGAAATAAACTTGAAACAAGCGGTAATCTCAAAATATTGCATTATATCTCGTTCATTTTCAAATCTACGGCATAAATAAGTAAGGTCAGACTTGTGAAAATCAAATTTCCTACAACTTTGGCCCCCACAATTTTTCTTCTAAATCGCTTATCTCGGTGCCGCAACTGATACGGCTAATCAAATGCAGATCGATAGAACTTTTCATGCTGATTTCAACCATTACCAAATTATTTGGGGCAAGTAAAAAATAAAGAAAATATAACAGGTTAAACTTCAACTTTCCTATTTCTTATATGTTAAATATCTCGGAAACGACTTGACCGATTAGAAAAGTATTGAATCCAATTCAAAGATAATTTTAATAGCTTTTTTACGGCGTATTTACCAAAACTTTTTTAAAGCAAATTTTTGGTAAACGATAAAAAAATATATATACTATTTCGATTTTTCCCACTACTTTTATTAAATTTTGCCCTATAACAAACCTTTCTATATACGGTAATAACTTGTACTTTCTAAATAATATAAATTTCTGTAGCATTAATGCAATTTTCTTCAAAAAAGGTAATTTAATGAAAACAATTTTTTTTTTGTTTTTTTGTATTTCTGACTCAAAAATATAAAAAAAATCAGAAAAATTATGTACATCACTGAAAGATAAACTAATCATCTTTATTTTGACATCATTAGTTGTTTAATCGGTTATGTAGTTCATAAGATATTGATATTTCAAAATATCGAAAAATTTAACTTAACCTACTATATCTTCTACATTTGACATCAGTAATGAAAACGGAATGTCAATCATCTGAGACCGAAATTTGACGACAGTCTTTGACATGCACTGCGATATCGACATTTGTGATCAGTGATTTTGACCTAATGAAAACCAGCCATAATACATACATACATACATATGCTTATTCTATTAACGTGTGTATATTTTTTGTTTCTTATTAATAGCCTTATAATGGCGAATCAAAACATTAAAAAAAAATTATATTGTTTTTTCTGCTTTTCTTTACTCTCAGTCTTCACCAGACGCGCACTTTTCACATTAGTTAATCTTATACCCACTAAGGACCAGTTTTTCAGTGCCAGTTTAAACTTGGATTATGTAAACTGAGTTTAAATTGAACAGCTGGCTGACATTTGATTGGCTGATCGTAGTTTAAACCAGCCAGATCGGGCGTTTAAACTTAAGAGCGAAATACACCACACAAGCGGTTTGACAAACCAAGCGAAATTTCCCTTTGCTTCAAGCCATTTGTGCTGTGTATGGGGGTGTTTGAAGGTTTGACAAACCGCTTGAGGGAAATTTGAGCAAAAATCAAAATTTTTTGATTTTCTGGCCGCCATGTTGATGTTTGATCAAACCGCTTGCGTTGTGTATAGCAAAATCGCCTCATTCGCAACGAAATTTTCACCGAGTAAGGACGTAAGAGAGGAAAATGAAAGAAAACCATAATATTTAGCATTGCGAACTGGAAGAAAACTAAAATTCTTTGCTTGAACGAGTCATGTTTGCATGGTGTATGGCGAAATGGGAAAAGTAGGTTTGAAGAATGTTTGACAAGCCGCTTGTGTGGTGTATTTCGCTCTTTAATTTAAACCATGATTCAATAATACAAGGTTCGATAAACTGACAGTTGTCTCTCTCGCACCGCTCCCTTAGCAGTGGCACCGTGTTGCTTCTTTGCAACTTTACTTGGAAAAAGTGAAGCTTTGGTGTGAAATAGAAGTATAAGCTTTTGTGCAATATGTTTATTTGTATATACATATGGAGCACATTTAACTGATGAAAACATAAACTTTTTTCATAATGGATGTCTACATAAAAGTCGCAGTAGTTGTATATTAATTTTGAGCCCTTGCAGTTTTTATACAGCTAAGTAGCACATAAATTACGTAATTCACGTATATTTTGTAATATTACGTTCAATATTTCGTTTAAAATGCCAGATTTCCTGCAAATACATTGGAATTTACAAAAGGAATTTCACTACTAATTGCCTACTTTGAGTACTTTTCTACTAATACGCACCAAGGGACTTCATTCTTCGTCTTTCTCCGTCCTTCGTAAATGCAACCTTTTGTAAAGGAGTGTCAAACCGCGGCTGTCAATAATTATCTAACCTTGTATTATTGAATCATGGTTTAAACCACGGCCGTGCACTGAAAAACTGGCCCTAAGTTCCAATTATTAGATACATATAATAAATAAACGCATTTGTGCTTATTCCTACATTCCTTCCAACAAAAAGCATTTGCTTGCATTACTTACATATACATATGTATGTATGATGTATGCATAACAACCCCGTAGCGAATGCCATGCGTTAGTCACTTAAAAGTCTTGTACGGAAAAGTTACGTCTTAAATGACTTTGGGCTCCGTTTGTATGGAAGTCGTTCATGACTTTTTTATATAAATGGTAATTTCGTCGCTGATGTCATCTGCATGACTTGGTCATGCAGTGATCATTAATGACATTCAAGCGACAGTATCTTGCAATGGACTTTTTATAAGTGACCGCTGCAAGACATTGTCCCCATAAATAAACCTTATGGGAGGTGGTCACCTGGAACGACTTCCTGTAAAAACCTGCAAATCGTGAAGCAGTTGGAACGCAACTAATGGTAATTTCGTCGTTGATGTCATCTGCATGACTTAGTCATGCAGTGATCATTAATGACATTCAAGCGACAGTATCTTGCACTCTTTATAAGTGACCGCTGCAAGACATTGTTTGTTATAAGTCTTTGACATTCCCTTTTCAACTTCGAGTGGTGGTGGACGTGTTCTGCGCAAACTATAACTTGAGGAGCTTTTTTTCGGCGCTTTGGCACATGTGCATGTGCTGTACCAATTTTAACTTTTGTGAGGACTTCATAGCTGTAAAATATTACAGCTAATCGTATTTGAACGCTTGTGCGTCGCTTTGGGCGCTATTACAAATCTTTTCAAACAATTTTCTGGATTTTATACACCAAATTTTTTAACGGGATAAGGACTTCAGGTGAGTGATTTTGCTTTTAGTATAAGCTGTGAAACTTTTGTGAATTAGTGCTGCGGTAACATAAAGTGAAAGCCTGCCGCGCACGGCAGCAAAAATTACTAAAGTCGCTATGGCGTCCTCGTCGTCGGGGACGCCGGCGGCTGACTTCGAGGCCTTCTCTAGCGCCAACTTGGCTAAGGGCAAACGCCCAAGAAAGGACACAAGTTCCAAATTAATGACTATGATTAAAAAC